GATCTCTTGACCTCGTGATCCACCCGCCTCGGCCTCCCAAAGTGCTGGGATTACAGGCGTGAGCCACCGCGCCCGGCCTAATAATGGCTTGTTAAGTGTTAAGTGTTATATATAGGTCAAACGTCCCTAATCCAAAAATCCAAAATTCAAAATGCTACACAATCCAAAATTTTTGAGTGCCAACATGATGCCACAAATGGAAAATTCCACGTCTGACCTCAAGTGGAGGGCCACAGTCAAAAGGCAGTCAAAATTTTGTTTCATGCACAGTTATTGAAAATATTATATAAAATTATCTTCAGTCTATTTGTATAAGGTATAAATGAAATGAATGAAATTCATATTTAGACTTGGGTCCTATAGCTGAAATATCTCATTATTTATACACAAATATTCCAAAATCTGAAAAAGTCCAAAATCCAAAACATTTCTGGTCCTAAGCACTTTGTATAAGGAATACTCAACCTGTACATCATACTTTATAAAAATTATTCAGTCTGGTATTTTGCTCAACTACTTGCAATGAGTTGTCTAAGTCTCATATTTCTTTCTTTTTTTTTTAAATATGGAATGCTTCTCGAATTTGTGTGTCATCCTTGCGCAGGGGCCATGCTAATCTCTGTATCGTTACAATTTGAGTATATGTGCTGCCGAAGTGAGCGCTCTCATGTATCTTTTCATAGCATTTTATTTTATCAATTATTCGTATTTGTTTTGTCAAGTTCCAAAGCAGTAACAACCAAAGATAAGCCTATCACTTCACAATTACCTCCTGTGGTTATTGCTTTCTGAGGAAAAAAAAAAAAAAAATCACAAGAGATAGCTAATCAACCTAGGCTAAATTTATGTCAGCTTAGAAATTCAAGGCCCACTGTGGTCAATGGCAGAGCTCTGAGTGAGGAAATCCAATGCTCAAGAATATAGTCCTGAATTTAGATGAACCTTCAAATTTATATATTACAATGTAAGTAAGTAATACATGCAACTTAAACAGCATTTCTAGTCTCACCAGGTTTAGGTGAGGGAGTGGGGTGGGAACAGGATGTTAAGGGAAAGTAGGGAAGAAAAGGACCCGTTTTACTAATCTGTGCCAATTATCATACCAACCCTTTGATCACTGAAGACTGAAGGTCGGTACGGTACCAAGAATTGGGGTTATATATTAAACAGTGTAGTCCCAAACCTGTAGAAAACCATTAATACCTTGCATAGAGACATGCAATAATAAAGATTATTGAAAACTCTTGTCTGAAGTACTTTAGTAGTATTTGAAAACACAATAGAAAATTACCCTGTAGGAATGGGATAGCTACGGCACGTGTTAAACTTTCGGAAGGGGGAACACGCTTCACAGCTGATTGCAGATTTCTCACACAGTCTATTTGTCACAATCCGGGGGCATTTTAAGTAGTTTTCTAACAATATAAGCCCCGCACTTTGGACTGGTAAATACAGCATTTTCATTTGGTTAATAATAATTTGAAACAGAAACAAGTCACCACCAAATAGGGACCCTTATCCTCCCTCAGGCATAAAACCGTATAGCCAGCTAGCCGGCTTTCCGTGGGGTAGAGTATAAACAAACAAACAAAACCGTTTTGGTGCCCAGATAAAAAGAGGAAAGCAGCTGGGTCAAAACACCCGCTCTCAAGCTCTTCAAGATCAACCCAGGGGGACTGGTCCTCCACCGGAAAGGGCCGGATTGCCTTCACAGGAAGGGCAAGTCACTCCGGAGCTCGCAAACGCGAATGCCACCACAGAGTTCCAAGGCGGCTGCCAGAGCGTCGGCCGTCAGTTAGCACCTCCCCCTCCTTCCCAGAGCTGTAGCTAAGCAACCACCGGGTTCTGGGAGAGTCTAAGCTCGGCTGCTGCCTTAGTGCCTCTAGCGGCGAACTATGAGCGCTGCAGAACTCTATCACCACTTTAACCCTCCCCTCTCTCCACCCCCTTTTCCCCCGCCCACTTCTTCGCCACTTCAGCTCCTCCCTCTGCTTCTCTCTCCGTCTATTTCTCTCTCTCTCTCTCCGCCCCCCCAACCCCCCGCGTCTCTCTCTCTCTTTCTCTCTCTCTCTCTCTTTTTCTCTCTCTGTCTCTCACACTCACTCACTCTGTCTCTGTCTCTCTCTCTCACTCTTCCCCCCCCCCACACTCCTCTCCTTCCTCCTCCGGTCCTCAGCTCTTGGGCTAGAATATCTATGGGTCGAAACGTGATGCGATGAATTCGAGAGAGAGCGAAACTAGGACGAGGAGTGCGGCGGAAGCGGCGGGACTCCCGGGCATGGGGGCTTCACCACAATAGAGGCAGCGCCCCCACCCGCCCCCGCCAGCCCCTCCAGAGCGAAGCCCCAAACCCCCTCGGGAAAAGGATGGCGGCGGCACCTACCCAGATCGAAGCCGGTGGGTAGCTGTGTCCGGGGGGCGGGAGGGGGGGTAAGGGAATGGGGGCTTAGCGCGAAGGCTGTCAGTTTCTTTTGAAAAAGCTTCTATTTCTCTTCTTTACCTCCCTCTCAACCTCTTTTCCCCCCGTCTTCCCCAGAGCTGTATTACCTGATCGCTAGGTTCTTGCAGTCTGGACCCTGCAACAAATCCGCTCAGGTAAGGGGAAGAAAGAGACCTGGGAGTCGTGGTGAATGGTCACAGTAGGGAAATTGAGGCAGCGGGACGAACAGTTCCGCTGAGGGTGACGGAAAGGCCGGCCTTGACTATTCAAACAGCGGCTGGGCTTTAAGTGTGGTGGGAGGAATGGGTTGATGGATCAAGCTGCTTCTCATATCTGTGTTTCCCTTTTGCTCAGGTGCTAGTGCAGGAGCTCGAGGAGCATCAGGTACGGAGCCCCTTCGGGAAGGGTGGGGAGGGTTGAGGTGAGACTGGAGGAAGAGGAGGGCAAGTCAGGGGCGGAAGACGAGCTGGGATAGAGGCTTCGATCTGGGTACTCGTAGCTGTTGTCACCGGGGTGAATTGGCTTCTTTACTCAAAAGGGGCAGACAACGCTGGGGTCTTAACTCGTCCCCGCTTTATGCTTGTGGGAGGCAGTTTTTCAGGATTTCCTTCTCCGCGGCCCCCCTTCCCCCCATACACTCGTGTAGCTCTGAGCCAATAGCTATCAGGCCGAGAGAAATAAAGACGCTAAAGGGTCGAGGACTGGGACACAGGTTGGGTCCAGTTGATGGGGAGCGGAGGCTTTTCCTTCATCATTTGCCACCCCTTCCCCCTTTCTTTTCGTCCGGCCCCCAGCTGATTCCGCGCCGCTTAGATTGGGAGGGGAAAGAGCACCGAAGAAGCTTTGAGGATCTGGTGAGTAAAGTTTTCATTTCAACTTAACCTAACTCTTTCTCCACTCCCTCCCCACCTTGTACCCCCAACCCGCCCCCCTACCTCTTAGCCGATGAGGTTCTAGAGCTCGGTGCGGAGCCAAAGAACGATTGCCCCTTCCCCCATCCCTGCTAGTCGGAAGAAGGGTACCTTGCCCTCCCCTTGGCCTTGCTTGTTTCTACCCAAAAACTTTGAAGAATGTGAGTTGATTATCAGAGGTGCCGTGTTGTGGATTATGAATATGGTACAAACATTGGGGAAGGCCCATTGTAGGAGGAAAAGGGAGAGAAACCAAGGGGTTATCTTGGGGCACGTACTAAGGTCTGACGCTGGCCAATGACAGCGTTGGTAACAGCCCGGAGTTCCGGATTAGTGGAAGAAAACTGGTTTCTGGTTGGTCCTGGCCTGAAATACGGGAACTA